ACATTTGTATACATACATGCATTAGCAAATACTAACATACATCACACAAACATGAAATCAAACCATTACCTACCTCGAACAAAGCTTGAATCCTCCTAAGAAACTTGATTCTTTCCTTTCCAGATTCTTTCCATTTGTTCTTGGTCTACAAACAATTAATACAACGGGAGGATCAATAAACGACTCCCAATTACCCGGATTACAATCAACATTATCAACCTTAGGCCAAACCCATGATCCTAAGGTGCAGTTAGGACTTTTTCCCACCATCCAATTCAGTCCAAAAACTCTCCCCCCAATAATTAATAACCAAGAATCTAAGTTCTACGGATCGAAAATGGATTAGGGGAGTAAGAATCTTACCTTTTGCACCAAAATAGTGGAAAACTGTCAAGAAATCGTTTGGGGTCGTCTCCTAACTCTTAAGAACGAAGTTTGTAGAATAATGACGTTTTTGGGGTTTATTTCCGACTTAAGTCGCGTTTGTCCCGCTATGGCGGACCCTATCCCGCTATAGTGGCCCCGCCCTGGTGGGATAAATCCCTCCCTAGCGGCTTGCATGGAGACAAAGAGTCCAATTAAGAGTTCCAAACCCCCATTTCACAACACACCTTCAACCCATGACAATCAGAAACTACCCATTCACGCTAAGGTCAGTTTCAAAAGTTCTACTCTCCCGAATTCGATTCCGTAAATTCGTACGGTTTCCTTAACGTCTTAGTTATCTACTCGTGTGATCAAATTCATAATTATATCTCTCATTCATTACCAGATTTCCCTAGACCTCACTGACTCCAATTTCGTCCAAATCTGGACTAGGCTAGGAATTCTCAAGTTACTACCAAAAAGTTTTTCGGCCCAAAAACTTTCCTCGTTGACTTTTCTATAACGACCTGAGCAGGTCGTTACAAAACATTTACAACAAAAACTCTTCATATTGGTAGGAGTAACTATCCATAACTCACACCTCTTTAATTTCTACTCTTAATAAATTTATTTATTTTCCATTTATTTTTTACCTTCTTCTAGTTGTTAATCTAATATATCTATATATCTATCTGTCTATATATAATCTAATAATAAAATTAGAAATTAAAAAAAAAAGTGATATGACATGCTTTATTGAATTAGAAATATATTTATATTTTTTCTTCCTATTTTTGGCTTTTACCATTATTCTGTTTAATTTTCTCTTTTTTATTCATTCATTTATGTACTATACCTTAATTTCACATTATTCTTGCTTTATTATTTCAATAAAATCTGAATAGTTATGTTCCACCCTCTTCTTTAATCGTTTCGAAAATATATGTTCATTATTTCTAATAAATTATATACTTACACTTTGTATAAATTATATGCTTTTAGTTTGTATTTGGAGGAGATGATTTTGTGTCGTTTGTTTGGATAGAAAATGCAACATATAATATTAGGTTTCTTTTTTTCTTTCTTCCTATTTCATAATTTTCATTGAGGTATCGACTATTCTTTTGTAATTGTTTATATGATATAATAATTCCTTACATGCTTATCTTAATTTGATTTTTTTTTCTTCCTAATTTTATGAATGACAAGTGTGATATTGATCGATCCAATTATTTATGAGTGAACCTTTCATCTATGTTGTTATATATAAGTTGAATTTAATTTCTTTTTTTGTCATACTTTACCGCGTTGATAACAATATAAATGAAAAGATCAAGAAAGCTTAAAGAGGTAAATTATCATATTATTTTTGTCCAACATTCATTATAAATAATGATATCTTCAATTTATCTTTTGATATTTTTAATAATTGGAACGTCGGAAAACAAGTCTACTACCAGCTTTTAAAATTTTTCTATTTCATAATTATTTTGATCTCAAATTCAAACGTTCTTTTCTTACTCCATGATATGGATAGCATGAAAAATTCAGATTTTTTTTTATTAATATGGATTATTAAGTTTTTTTTGCATTTATAATTTTGTCAATTATTTTGATGAACTCAAGAATCAATAAAATTATAGTGTCAAATTAAATCAAGGTATGATTACTTAAACTGTAAAAATATTTTTTTTGGTTTTTTTTTGTCACATAAAAGTTACAAAATATTATTTTAGATGTTTAAGGTTGAAAAAATCATATAAACTATTTATAGAGTAACTAACAATTTTGTTGATTTGTGCTTGTAGGGATAAAGGAAAAAGTTGAGGAAGATTAATGTAGAAAGTGGAATAAATTGAGAAGAAAATAATGTAGAGTCTTAAAATTATTACTATAGTAATTTAATCTCTTTTGTTATAAAATATTATGGTGTGGATGTTCACTACTCCAAGAAGTTATTATGACTAATTATCTTCATTACTTTTTTCCATTATGAAGATAACATCCACCTTTATGATCATTATTCTTGTAACCTTTCACCTCCACAACCTCCTTCATTATATTCATGTTAATGTCATGTTTATGACTAGGGGTGGGAGAATGAGTAATTAATATGGGTACCAACTCATATTTACTCATTTTAAATGGGTTGGGTATCCAACTCATTTAAAATGGGTAAAAACAAATAATACCCATATTACCCATTTAAAAATGGATAGTTAAATGGATAAAATGGGTAAAAGATGTTCATTCACCCAAAAAAAAAGTGATAAAGGGTGGTGTAGTAAGAAAGTCTTATTTTTTTTAAAAATAAATTCTATAAAAAGAATGAAACTTTTTTTTACATTTTTTTGGGATAGGGGGGCGTGGGGGAAGGGGGGTATGGTAGGGGAGTGGGGTGGTAATTTTGTTAATTTTTTTAAAAAAAATTTGTTTACTTTTTTTTGGGATGGGGATGGGGTGTGGGGGGGGGCAGATAGGGGGTGGGGTGGTAAGTTCTTTTTTAAAAAAATTTAAAATTTTGTTAATTTTTTTTTTTGGGGATGGGGTGTTGGAGGGGGGGGGGGGCAGTAGGAGGTGGGGTCGTAGCAAAGACTTTTTTAGTTTTTTTCAATAAAAAAATTGAATTCTTTTACTACTTTTTATTTTGGGATTGGGGGGGGGGGGGGGGGTGGACTTTGAGGGTCGGCGCATGGGGTGTAGGGGGTAGGGGGCATTCGGGGGTGTAGGGCGGTAGGGTGGTAAAAAAAATAATTTTTTTTTATAAATAGAATTGAATTTTTTTTACTTTTTTTTTTGGAATAGAGTGGGGGGAGGGAGGTTGGGTGATAAAAAAACTTATTTTTTTTATATAAAAAGACAAAATTATTCTTTTAACAAGATTTCTATTATAATATGAGTAAATATAGGTACTCATATTATCCATTAGGTAACTCGTTTTTATCCATTTAAAATGTGAGTTGAGTCGAGTACTTTATCCATTTTTATTTAATTCATTTTTGATCGACTCATATTCGACTCGACTCGCTCGTTTGCCACTTCTATTTATGACTAACCTTTTGTATGCCTCTATGTTACACTATAAATAAAAGCAAAAGAGTTCATATTGTAGACACTTGAAGATTTAATAGACACTAAAGAAAAAAATTATCTTACATTATTTCTCTTATATTATATTCTTCTTATCTTCCTCTTTATTATATTGATCTTTTATTCTTAAGTTTTACAACTTCTTTAACTTTTTCTCCCACTGTTTTTTTTTTTTAAAGTTAGATGTAACACCTTTCTATAGGACATTCTTATTTAATGGCATTTATTTATTTTCTTTGCGTTTTTTCATTCATTTCTTTGATTAAATTATTTAAATAAATCACAATTATTCTTTATCCTACATAGTTAAATACATTAAAATTTATTTGCACTAAAGTCTAAATCAGTTTTTTTTTCGCATCTTCATTCGATACGGGAAATCTCACAATACTCAGAAAGGCCACTCAGCGAGAAGCTCTCTATCTCCTTGAAGAAGAGTGAACAACTGATCTTTCCTGATCCTTATTCGAATTAGTCTTTCTAAACTTGGAAAAAGACTTTGGCTACGATTCGATCTCAAAAGCTCAAACTTCATGAAAGGCGACTGACTATTTCACTGCTACATAAATCATCCACTCCTTTTTCGATTCTTCTTCTATATAAGTGAATAGATCTTTGTGATTCAATTGATTCAATGATAATTATACTACTTATTTGTAACCGTTTTTCACCTGTTCATCTATGATTACTTTATCAATTAATGTAGAAACATGGATATGCTATGAAACGATAAAATATGAAGAGGTCTAACACATTTATAATACCCTTTTTAATTTTCATCAAAATATTTTTTTTTCTCTCTCAAATTTGTGAATTCAAAACATGAATATAAAATAAGAAGAGATTTAGCTTTGATAGTCGGATAGGTAGGAACAATGACTATGCTCTTTGATAGTGCACTTAATAACAAATTGAGAATATAAAAACTACAATAGGCAATGCGTCTTTTTCAATCATCTTCTCCTTACCTTTCGATAATTGTTGTTTAATATTTCACGTTGCATTATTATTTCATTGATTCGTGTGAATATTTTTATTTTTGACTATATGGTGAAAAAAAATTGAAATATTTATTATATAGAGATTTTATTTATTTATTTTTCTTTAAAAATATCTTAAATATATTTATAAGTTAAATGAAGTTTTATTTAGATAGGATATTTATTATAGAAAATGTTTGATTTTTTTAACATTATAATGGGTGTAAGTGTAGTATAGGTAACCGATTTAAAGTGGGTGGGGGATAAAAAATAATTAAGGAGTTTTCATAATACAATTAAAATAAGTAATAATGTTACAATTAAACAATAGAGTAAATATAAGATTGATCAAAATAAAAATATTAATTCTTTAATAATTGGCGCCATCAAGTTCTCTAGTTAAATAATAAAGACAACTATATATATATTTTTATTTTTAAGAAGGAATGTATGTCGATGGATAAATGTAAGAATAAAAGAACAAATATGATTTTTTTCAGCATAAAGTGGGTCAAATTATAAAGGAGTAAAATATTTGTTAGCAGGTCAATGCACAAAGTGTTTTTTCCTTAACATAGCATGATGCCGTGCTATTTAAGTAATTGAAGGAGTCCCCCCTTCTGGAATTCAAAAAGCTGCTCTCAAATTTCCTTCTATGGCATACGATTTGAGGAACAGAACGGAACCGTCTTACGGTACGCAATCGCCCATATACGGCCGGCCGGCCACTACTGCTCCTCCCCTTCCCAGCCATCACCATCCGATGTACGTTCAACCATCCAGCCTTTACCCTCGGGTCGGTCAACACTCCGGCGGCAACTTCCCCGGGCGTTTTAACCCCACTCCTTCACCATCGTCCACTAGTATGTCTTACCTCTTTGATTGTTCCCTCACTATAACTATATGTGTACTTGAAAGCCAATATCTGTTTCGATGGCTAATATTGACTTGTTGATGTCTAATTTTGTAGCCGGAATCGGCATCAGAGTTGCTATAAAACCAGAATATCAAATTACACCTCCGGTATGAAACCTGTGATTTTTGTTGTATTAACCGCCTCTAATTTCTATATTTAGTTATATAGAAGTTAGAACACATCATGCCCATATTGATTTAGTGTGCAGAAGTATTTTCCTTGCATGTCCAGTCCAAACTAGTTTGTGATTGTGAATCGCGATGTAGTAATAGTTGGTTGATTAATGAGGAATTTGAAGAACATATTTGGACCTGACATAGTTATTTTGGTTCTTATAGCCCCCATTGGCTCCACAAGGAGACGTTCCTCAATGCACATTTCAGTTTGATTTTGACCTTGAGAAGAAGATTTTGGCTGAAGCAGATCAAAAGGAAAGCCAAATCTGGAGCAGGTTACCTCTCGAGAATCTGCCACCTAGAGGGTCAGACTCAGACCAAGCTTCAAAGGTGTTAGTTTCATTTGATGATTCTGTTAATCTTACTTTTAGTTTAAGTTAAACAGGTGCATTTTAATGTGAACCTGTAATGTGTTACTCGTCAGAAAGAGTATATAGTTGGGTCTGATGGCTGTTTCTATCTTAATGGTTGTATGGACTTGTCACTAAGGAAATAAATTAGAGAAGAAGAACAGATGGAGGTGCTAACACCTTACTGTTAAAGTAGCTCGAGCATTGAGATAGTGTACATCATTTTATATCGGTGGTCTTACACTCCTCTCAATAGAGATACAAGTTCAGATAATGCAGGTCTTACTTCAAGTTTCATGTCTTCCTTTCTATGACCCATGCATGGGGAAAATGTTCGATCTTATTCCTCCCTTGGAAGTTTTCAAATCATAATATTGCTTTCGAATAATAGAAAAAAGGTACCTCAAAATGTGTCCATCCTTTGACATCTTGGAATATGCCGAGGACACATGAATGATATGTTTGCATCTGTTGTCAAAAGGCCCTTATGTGCTTTTTTTTAAAACTGCTTTTGCTGATACATTCCCTCTAGGTATCAGATTACAGTGTGTTATGCCATAAAGAAACTAAATGTGATTTCAGTTTCTTTGCCTATACAGAACACTGATTTGTTAGAGATTTGCTAAGTGTTATCTTTAATTTGAATGTAGGCATCCCCTGGAGATCCTGTTATGAACAAATACATTGCATTCGGTCTCAACAGAGAGGCTGTGCCTCTTGCAGTTGCAAATTATGGAGACAATCCAAACAAGGTATTCTTTGTCATCTTACATGATTCTTGTAGCCTGAAAATCTAGAATTTTATTTTAATGAAGCTATGGGTAATAGATATGTATCTTTGATACTCAAAAAGTATATCATGTAATTTATTTGGGGCGGAAGGAGCGGTAAGAAACTAAACAATATTACTAATTGTTCCAAACATTATTGCAAATATTAGAATGAGGGAAGATGATGTTCACCAACTTTTTTCAGGTCACGGAATTTGCTGACGGTTTTACTTACTTAAAAGAAATGGGATTCTCATCAAATAGTGCTGCAGATGCGTTGCTAATGAATGACAACGACACAAACAAGGCAATCCAACATTTGCTAAACAATCCATCTTACTAATGCCGGGAGTTGTGGTGCTATTATAAGCCACATCAATAATGCTATTGTAAATGTGTTTATAATTGTTTTAACTTTTGATAATGCTATATTCAAACTTATGTAATTAGAGACCATCTTCTGATATCCCGGTTTGTAGTAAAAATAACTTTGGATATTCTATGTTTGGTGTTTTAAAAAGGTAGTTAAAAAGTTGCCTGAATACTTGCTATTACTTCCACTGCATCATCTTTGCCTCTGCCGCCATTCTTGGTAACTTAAATTTCTCTGCTCTATCAAAGAAGTTATCAGAAGAAGAAAAGGAAATGATGTCTTCCATAATCGAGAAAGAATCTAGTGTCCATTTCCATGACATTGTAATATTTGAAAGACATAACGAAAGAATGGAGGACACAATAAACAGACGAAATGAAAGGAACCTATTATCTGAAGTCATGTGACGATGGGGCTCAATTAACATCCAATAGACTATATATTACAATTTTGTACAAGTTAAATTGCAGTTACACAAAAATAAATAAAAGAAGAAGAGCTTGGAAATTTGGCAACGAGCCATGCAAATGAATAGGTAGGCCGGCATAACAAGAGAAAACATAACCAGTTGAACGTGATGAAAAAATCAATTTAATCGGTTCAATTCTCAATAGAAAGATAATCAATCACCTTTATACATGAAATTATACCAACTGATTCCTCCTTGGAATGGCAAGGTGGTACGCTAGCAGTTCATGTTGTCGGACACTCGGACTGCTACACTAAAGGTGCAACTCACTTCCGCACAATTCTTGTTCTCGCACCCTCTGGGATTCAAAAGATATCTCACAACTTTAGAATCATGAAAAAATACTTAGCTGAGGGAAGAAGAAATAATGATCAAAACAAAACCTAGAACTGATTTCAGTAAAAGTAAGGGTACAGGAAGAACACAGAGAGAATGTCGTAAGCTTAAACTAACACTGACCTTCAGTTTCCTCAAAGTCAATTTCTTTTACTAGTTCGGAAGTTGCATTGTACTCAAATCTGCAAGATGAGAGTATAAATGTATGAACAATGACATAAGACATATTTCCCAAGATAAAACTTCTAGGGAGAAGAAAACAGGCAAACTTAGAGAGGTAGAGGGGAGGAGAAAAAGAAGCAGATAGTGCATCATAGGAATAAAAAATAAATAAAACAACAAAAGAGCAAACATCTACTGAGATGCTCCAAACACCCTCTCTCTTTTTATGTTTCCGATCCATCATATCATCTACATACATGTCCCAAGATTAAGATTTTCTGGTCATCCACAGCTTGCATAGGGCTGTCCATCGAGAACTCATTATTCTAGCTAGGCATAGAGATTAATTTGCTTCATTGTAACACAACTGACACAAAGGAACAAATCAGTGTTTTCTCTACAACAATAATTGAATCCTTAGTATGAAAGCAAGACAAAGTATTCACTAGTGTATATGCTGGCCTGAAATCAAGCCAAAAACTTTCTTTGTCTTGGCCCCTTGATCATTTTCTCATACACAGTTCTTCAACAATGCACACTAAGCTACTTCAATAATATCTGCAGATGCATCCGTTTTCAGCTGAAAACTTTTTAAAATACTGATAAGCCAGATGAAAGAACAATTGAGAGTTCAAAGTCAATAAGAAAATTGCACTGCACTTACCTATTAGAGAGTAGCACCTCAAGTTCGTAGTCGGATTGACTCCTGGTAGCATCTACTAAGACAGATACAATTTCCGTCTTCCGAGTACTGGCTATCAGTAGATCATATTCAGTTGGGATAATAATTGCTAAGAAATTATCACTTAGTTCACTCAAACAGAGCTTTTCAACAGCTGCCAGGGAAATCCGCCTTTTAAGTGCATCAATGTCTGGATCCACAATGTAAACGGCAAAATCAGTTATAAGAAGAATGCGCCTCTTCATCTTCCCTGTACTTGTGAACTTCAAAACTTTGTCTGCAAAGAGGACTTTCTTGTCACCTGCAAAAGAATATACAGATCAGCACAGGTTTATATCTTTGTTATGAGAGATGAATCATAAACCAGCCATAAGTAATCAACCACACCAAGTGAAAGTCCTAAAAGAAAAGCACTACCACAAAAACAACAATAACAGTAACAAACCTAGTGTAATCACCACAACCACAACTCCAGATGTGAGGTCCGGGGAGGGCGGTGTTTATGCAAACCTTACCCCTACCTTAGAAAGTTAAGAGGTTGTTTCCGAAAGACCCTCGACTCAAGTAAAGCATATCAGAGAAGGTTTGGAAAAGAAATACAGTAGTGTGCATTACTTGCGGCAAAAAGAGCATTGAAGGATAGTTTCAGTTTCTCTTTGTCTGGGATGAAGAATTGTAAGATGGTTCTTACTGAAAAGTGTGAGGATTACTTAGTGTGCATTGTACAACTGGATATATGCATACATGTCTCCAGCTTATAGTAGATATATTATGAACTCATCTCCTCTGAAAATTCTTCAATAAATACAACTTCCACCAAGACTAACTTTGAGAACCTTTCTAAAGAAATAAGGCTCTACCTCAAGATGCAAACAGCGGTGAACGATGTTAAAGCCACTAAAGGTTGTAAAAACTTCTACGAAGTCTGTTTATACTTAAGTTTCCATCTGTACTTCTTAAAATCATGCAAACAACTTGAAATGCCATTCTACAATAAGAGATGACTCGACTATAATGTGGACATTCAAGAAAATCAAGCATGGAAAATGCAGACAAGAAACACAGTTGAAGACTCATAAATCTGGAGAATGGTAATCAATTGTGAAACACATAACAAGTAATTGCCGAAAAATAGGTTTTTAAAACTCAATGACAAAGAAAAAAAGAGCACAAAACATTGAATTAAACCAAGAATATCCCCAACTTTTTTTGGGGATAAGAACAAAGAAATCCTCAACCCAACTACAATACCAAGTAAAACAAGGACTATTGGGTTGAACTGCAAGCTACAAATAAAGATTTTCATTTTGACGTGAGCTCCAAAGTTCTTAAAAAGTTTCATTGAAAGAGAAAGGTTACTTCCAAAACAGCTACACAGGTTCAATCCAGCCCATGGTGCAAATAAATACTAACATTTCATTTCTTATATTTTAGTAAAAGATGGGAAAAGAGAAAAAAACACAACGTCCAACTGAATATCACTAGAGGGATGATCCAACTACATATTTATTCAACAAAATACAACTTACAGCTCCTACAGCTTTCCTAATTTCTCAACCTCAAACTATATTTCGCCCATAAAAGCTTTTGAAAGCTGTCCAGAAACAATAAACATGCTGTTTAACTTAAAGTAAAGTGTTTTAACAGAATAAAAGAAAACATATTCACAAAAAGAATAAACTACCAAATGTGTCGTTTCAAATCAAACAAAACTTATTTCCGTAATAAGTGAAAAGCCTTTAAATGTTATCATGCCGAGTCTTTTTTTAAACAAACATTTTTCCTTTTAACTTCTCACCTATTCTTCTTCCGTATTATTTTTAACAAAAAATTATTTGTAAACCACTTAGGCTTATGGTACTTTTTCAAGCATGAAATTCATTATTTACTTTTGTTAGTTTTACATTATTTTATTTACAAGCTTACTATTGGTCTAGTACATGTTGGTTTAGAAATAATTCAGTGTTTTTAAAAGAGAAAAGCGAAAAGAAGCGATAAGGTCCTTGGAACTTGGAATGAAAAGAGAAAATGAAGTGCACATTTCTTTGAAATAAAATGCACTATAAGAGAAAACAAGAAGTACTACTAAATACAAAATATATATGGACTAGTGCAGTAGTAATCAATTTGCAATTAAAACAACCAATTTCAACATTCAAATACAATAACGCCAACTGCCAACACTAAACAAACTCCACAAAGTTCAAGATTCAAAAAACCGATTGATTTTCATTCGGATCATCTTGCAGGTCATTGTTTGAAGCAGACATTTCTATGAACCGCATGGCTTCGCCTATGACGATTGCCCCTCACTAAGCATCATTCCACAAAGGCTTTCAATAACATTCAAAAAAACCATTGTAACGTTTAAATAACATTGATGAAAACATTATTCTAACCAACTCATACAACAACTAAAGTTATTGTAGTACCTTTATAATCACAATGCAAAAATTTTTTTTCTTTTGATAAGGTAAAGGTTTATTGACCAAGTACCAAGAAGGTACCAAAACCAAAAGTTACAAAAGACCGCTGGGAATGCTAGAGGTTAAAAATAAGCTTCTTCCTCTGTTCTATTTTATAGATTACTTCTTAAAGAGTACACATTATATTTGGAAATTCTTTAACTTTGAACTAGTAATTTTATACCTAATACCATACCCCTACAGCCATATTAATGTCATGACATGTTTAAGGCAACAGGTTGAAAGAGTACTTTCACCAATAGATACTATATGAGCTAATTTTACATTTCGCGAAAAAATGTAGCATTGTTCCAATGCTATTAAAATTAGGCGTCTACATATTCAGTTTTAACCCCAAAGCATCAAATCAAAAGTAGAACGTAAATTTCAAACGTTAAGATTATGTAATCAAACTAATGATCAAGTAATTGTGCAACGGAAATCACCTGTACAGGAATAAATAAATAAATTATGAGAATTTTAGGATGTGGCTTTGACCACAGAATTACCTTGTTTTTCTAGAATCTTCATGAGATAGGGTCGAGAAGGCACGTCAAGGTAATCGCCGATGTAGTTTCTATGAAACGAAGCTTTTCTCCGTACCTTTACTCCCATGAAAGGATCTCGATTTTGATCTTCCGTGACATTGCTATCCGTGGGCGTCAGCTTCAAACTTTCAGCATCTTCGTCATCGTTAGCGATCCGTTCGTCATCGTCAAGGACCGGCCGGGTTTGGGCCGGTAACTGGACTTTTCGGTTTGATGATTGAAACCATGCCATCGCCGGCGACGGAAGGAAGGAAGGAAGAGGTTGGCGAAAAGTGCCGATGTGCAAAGATTGTTGGTTGGTGGAAACAAACGTGTCGTGTCTGACTGTTACCTCACCTGGATTCTCACAGCAGGACCCAATTGTCCCCACTTCATCATTTGAACAAAATAATATTCTTCATAATTTGTTCCAATTTGTATTTTAATTTCTAGGATATTTAACCTATTATTCTCTGTTAACTTTTGTTATTTCTACTTCTGTTTCAGTGAGACTTTTGAATTTCCAAATTTAAATAAATTTATCTTTGACCGTAAATCTTTTACTATATAGTATTTCTAAACTGTAAACTTAAATTCTTTAACTCTCGAAAAATGAAATGTGTCACCTAAATTGGAATATGATAGTACTATTTAGACTTTGCGGTTTGCACCTAACTTAAAACGATAATAATTGTTATAAATATTTTATTAATAATATTCATATTAATTTGACGAATAAGTAAATTAATGTTAAAGATAAAATATGAAAATTTCTATTCTCATTTTTATTTGTCTATTATTTTAAAATATATTTTTATTTTCATTTATCATTTTTAATATATCAAGAAAAATTATATTATTGTTCAAGACAATATTAAACATATTTTAATAGAATAATATAATACAACCATTGTTTTCTTAAAAAATAAAAAATATATCAACTACTCCCTCCGTCCAATAATACTTGTTCACTAGACCAAAAATAGATGTCTAATAATACTTGTTCACTTTATGAATAATTTTACATTTAATTTCTAATTTATCCTTATATTACATTTTTTAAGACATTATATTTAAAGGTGATAAAAGTAAAAAATGAAGAGAGGGGAATAATTGTTTTTCTAGATAGGTTAAAAGTATCCATCTATTTTTGGAAATAGTGGTTTGAAAAAATTGAAGAGTAGGCTTTTGGAATATGGACAAGTGGATATGTCATATGCCATATCATTAGCATATCTACTTCACTTCATTGCTTGGTGCGAGTGATTTTGAATAAGTGATTGAAAAAGAAGAAGAAAGATGACTGCAGCATTTGTGATGAATGAAATCATTAGCCCCTCTGCTGATGATCCTTTGCTGCCGGTCTGCCGGATACTGCACACAGACAGGACCAACCAAGAGACTACAGCAAGGAGCTGAACCCCCACAAGTATGCCATGGACAAACATTGGGTTTGTCATATGTATGAGGGGACGGCCTTTTTACTTTCAAGTATGTTAAATATTTGCCTATTATGTGTGAATTAATAGTGGATTTTTTACTTTTGAGTTGCAATTTGATAAATCCATGTCTTCTTAGGAGGGGAGGAAAACCATATATACTGTGTCAAACTTGAGATTTGAAGGAAACTAACTGGCCTTCTTCGTGATAACTGTATTTCCGATTTTATTTGCTTTGTTGGTTTGTTTCATGACCTGTTTTTTCTGGCCGCTAAACAGAAATTAGGATCTAATAGAACAGGTAAGCAAAATAGAGGTGATAGGTCTAGAGACTGGAAACAAATTCTCTTCTGTTTTGTGGTCTGTCAGATTCTTCTGGTAGTCCGAAGATCCCCCAATTCCTTAAAATCGGACCATGGTTCGCAGAATGCAAGATGTAATCTTTGAACTTGTATATGGCTACTGTATACAGAATTGCATAATCATAGAAAGATTGTGCTTGGAGGATTAAAGATACACCCTAAAAAGGGAAGTTTAATTGCACATCAATCTGTTGATAATATGAAATGGGTCTTTTTCTTGAACTAGTATATGGTGTTATGTTAAACGTGTTACACATATATTGCCCTTTCATGCTACAACAACAACATACCCAGTGAAATCCCACTACCTCGTGGAAGTAGAGAGGTTGTTTCCGAAAGACCCTCGGCTCAAGTGCGTCAAATCCAAGTAAAAGAAGACAATGAAGAAAACATAGCAGTTAAATAAGAAAAGCAAGTGTACAGTCGATAAAAAAGCAATAACAACAACAAAATAGTGGGGTCATATACCCTTTCATGCTACATGAGCAAAAATACCTTGAACTGCATTTTATTTCATTAGAATCATTGCATGTTCTTGCTATTATTGTGAAAAAGACTGAGTAGCCATAATAGGTTACAGGAAAAATACTATTTTGTCTTTCTGGGATGCGCTACTTAGGAATATGTTCGTGTTTCTGAGGCCAGTTTATGCTGCAAAGACACCTTTTTAGATTTCATAAACCATACCAACTTGAAGTGTTTTATCTGGTGGAATTTGAAGTGCAGAAATAGCTGCCCTGCTATTCTTCTGAAGAAACCTGTACAAGTACTCTATAGTGAAGCGAGCAAACCAACCTTTATTTGTTTTGAGAATGGTTCTTCCTAAAACAAAAACGGGTCCTCTTTCAGCAGCTGCATCTATTTTTCGTTTTTCACTAGTAGACTCGGCTTGGTCTTGGAGTTTTGTGATCATTAAAGTAACAAAGTCATCTCCTTCCATGCTTTGAGAATCCTTATATCCAAACTGAATCAAACACCGATAAAATCCTTCAACTCCCGTCTTCCCCACATTGTAGCGTTCCTCCACCAGGACGGTTTTGATGGGAAGAGTTCTAACAGTGACAATTACCAGGATTTCTCTTACAGAATTTGTGTGCTGAATGTAATGACAGATTATGGGTGGAATGCCATTTCCGAGATCAGTGAAAAAGAAGCAAATTCCTGGTGCTCGGTATGTACTATAGCTTGATAGCATTTGGTCTAGATCAGGTAAACTCATCTTTCTATCTGCTTCATATTCTTTTTTCTTACTCCTTCCATATGTCCAAGATAGCATGATAGTCAAGAAGAAAGCAGAAATAGCAAATGGCACCCATCCTCCTTGTGGTATTTTATTGAGCAAAGATGTCATGAAACAACCTTCAATTATTATATAAGGCAAGAAAAATGCCAAAATGAGAATGATATTTGTCTTCCATATGATTAGCATCACTAATGCTGTCAAGAATGTTGTTATGATCATGACCCAGATGACCACCACCCCTGTAGTTGAAAAAGAAAAGTTAGTTCTATTTCTCAGCGAAGTACGCTTTATTTGGACTTCCAGTTGTGGTTTAACTTAACAACAACAACAACAACAGATCCAGTGTGATCCCACACTTGTCTGGAGAGGTGGGTGGTACGCAGACCGTACCCTACCTTTGCGAGGTAGAGAGGTTGCTTATAATAAGACCCTCTCGGCTCAAGAAAAGCGTTTTTCAAACATTTTCATACTATTAATTTTACTCGTTTGGAAACAGACTCTCTACCTCCACGAGGTAGCGTAAGGTCTGTGTACACTCTACCCTCCATAGACCTCACCTGTGTGATTACACTAGGTATGTTATTGTTGTTGTTGTATTAATAATAATTTTACTGATTATAATAGGTTATTTACCATTGTTACAGATTATTAACCCATTCTTGCAATAAAAAGTTGCATATAATTGGTTATTTTAAGTAGCATGATAGTATTAGATTTTTTCAAGTTGTCGGTGTACAAAAGAAATCTGAGTGATGCTTACCATAGGCATTTGCTAGTTCAACACCTCCTTTGAAACCAAGAACGAGAGTAACACAAAGAATCATGAGGATGTAGTTTACCTCTGGGGAATAGATTTGTCCTTCATGCTTGGATGAAGTATGTATAATGTTTACTCGAGGGAAGCATCCAAGAGCAAGTGATTGCTTTACAATGGAAAAAGTTGCTGATATCATGGACTGGCTAGCAACCACGGCAGCTAGAGTTGAGATTACAAACATTGGCCAGTAAACAGGTTTTGGTAGGGAACTGTAATAAGCGTTGTTGATATTCTCCGGATACCTCACTAGATAAGCTGTTTCTCCGGCATAGCTGAGAACTAGGGATGGATAAACTATAAAAGAAAATGCCAACTGCAAGACTCATTGTACAGAAATGCCATCAATCAGATTAACTTTTCTAATGGTAGATTAGAGTTCTTTGTTCCTTACCTGAATTGCTCTTTTATTGAAATGACCTAAATCAGCAAACATGGCTTCCGCTCCTGCATGACAGTTTAAAACATGTCGGAAGTGAACTAATTTTCTCCTATTTCATATGCTTTTCTTTTATCTTTTTTTTTTCCCTCAAAAGTAGTTGTAAAGTTAAACCTGTAATGCTTAGAAATACTGCACCGAGAAGATTCCAAGCAGTCTTTCCATTTCTTGAAACAAATTTCACTATGTAGTGTGGAGAAATGGCTTTAAGAACGGATGGATAGTACTCCAAAATATTGTAGATACCGACTGAAACATTGGTAGCAAACCACAATAACATTACGGGTGTGAAGCAGAAGCTAACTTTGCTTGTTCCACAGCGTTGAAAAGTGAAAAGTGCAATTAACATAATCACAGACATGAAAACCACATGATCTGCAGCCAATAGAACTTTCATTAAACCTCACGTTTTGGTGAGTAAATGGAAGCAGATCTGAACTAGCAATGGAACTGTCTTTTGAAAATTATTTTGACTTTACCTTGTGTTATCTTGGAAGAGAGAGATTGAATTCCTTGCAGGGCTGAGAGAACTGATGTAACAAGTGTATGGACATGAGGCAACGTCGAAAGGAAATATAACTTGGAGAAAACAAAGGAAGAATGTTACCGCAAGTAGCAGGAGTGAGAGCTCCATCACCAATGACCATACAAGTTCCAAGTAAAACAACAAAAGTAAGAACATTTTGAGCTGTGGAACTTCTCTCCAGGAACTTCTTAGTTTTTGAACGCCTAGAACTTCCACTCTCTTGGCTGTAATAAGCCATGCTCTCATCAGATTCCATCCTAACGTTGTGGATACTAAGTTTGCTTTGGAAATTGATATGGCGACAGAGATATGAATAGAGAGCAAAAGTACCGCCTTCTCCATGATCATTAGCATGGAGGACGATGAAGACATATTTGACTAACACAAGCAACGTTAGAGTCCAAAAGATTAGGCTGAATGTCCCAAGTAAATCATCTTCAGTGAGATTCGTCAAGCGAGTAGAGGAAAAGACATTGACAGGAGAAGTGGCAAGGTCCCCATATACAACTCCAAGAGATTGGTAAGCCAACAACAAGGTCTGCATGGGTGGATATTCCTGAGAAAAATACTCAAAATCTCAATATCCTATGAAGTGACTTAGAAGTTTCAAGACAGTAACAAAAAAAAGTGTGATGTTATCAGATTTTATCGAAACTGGTAGTAGCACTAGCACACATCGAGGATAAAATGAGAACAGGTTGCTTGTGATGATTTCATCATGTCCTATGTCAACCTTCAGATGCACCGGTCTGCAGGAACCATGATGACTTAAGGTGTTCAAAAGGAAGAGGTAGTTATTGTTAGCATGATTGGACAGATTCTAAATATCTGTACATATTTATGTTATAACTCTAAATGTTTGTGTAATGATGATAGAAGATAGCATAGATTAATGTAGTATATTTTCAGAGATATTACAATTAAGAATAGCATATATTTAGGGATATATAACAGATTTTTAGGCATGTAAATCAGAATTCTTTCTATTTAATGGTAGAACTCTCATTTGAGAGAACTCATTCAGCAAAATTGACATGGTATCAGAGCCAGGCTCATCCCAATTGTTGTTCACCGATGTTGGGCCCCCATTTAGAAGTGTTCACGCTCCAGTTGAGGTTTGGGCGTGCGGGGGAGTGTTAAGATGTCCACCATTGGTAGAGGGATGAGAATTTGGTCTCCTTATATGGACTTGGACAAACCTCCCCTCATGAGCTAGCTTTTGAGGTTGAGTTAGGCTCAGGTGTCATATCTTTACATGATATCAGAGCTACACTCTCTTGAAATCTATGCAAACCTAGCAAAAGATCTTTCACAATGAAAGAAAAGGATCTATGTGGATGATACTAGTTAGTTGGTTTAAGCTTTAATTATGCTAATATGTTTACTTTCGATCCCAATGTTTGTTGGGAGTCTTTTGGTCTTGTTTGAGATTTCATGCGTGGGAAATGCAAACAGCTTCTAGTGCTACAAAAACTAATTCTTTATTATATTTGAACTTAGACAAAGCTTAATGGAGTGACATGGACAATGAGAATTCATATAGCCGAGGATTCACATAGACGGTCTTACCTTAGCTTTGGTTAAGGGAGACTGGTATGTCTGCATAACTGTCATATATGTTTCCATAGCAGGTACTGGTTCTGGAACAACTCTCCTGCTGTTGTTACAAAGGTCAATACGGTTACTATCTCCAAGATTGCTTCTACTTTCAATATCATAGTTCTTTATGCTGGAATTGTTGCTTTTAACATCTTCCATGTTTTAAATGCAGGACACTTCCAATATTCTAGTTAAGAAGTTGCCGTACATTGTGTCATGTTTATATAGCTTCAAAAAAGCCTCAAGGACTATCGATTTGCAAACAGGGATATCGATTTGGTTGATCCTAAGAATAAAACAACAGATATAAGTTAGTGCTGCAAATTCTAAATGCCACAAGTTGCTGGAGAGGGAGCAGGTAAAGAAACACATCATCATATATATTTTAGCAATAATTCCACCAATTTGCATACAAATTTATTTCATCATCCTGTTAGAGCACTTATCGATTCGCAAACAGGGATATGAAGATAAACTATTGGTACATTATCTTGTTGACATTATATTTTATACAAAGGAGTGACTACACACTCACAAGTGACATATAACCAGAAATTTTTAAAAATCTGCCACTGTTGCTTTGTTGGATGAACCTTATCTAGTCTAGTCTAGTCTAGTTAAATAAATCAAGCTTAAATTTTTACAGTAAGTTGATGACAAGTGAAAACTAGTAAATCCTCTGATTAAAAAGGTAAGCTTGATTAATGAACAAAATCTCATATGCAATTTTGCTGGCTTATGATTATTTTGATTATGAAAATTTTGTTTTATTATAGGTATATATATCAGTGTTGACACATCTTGACCTAAGCTAGTCCAGTGTAATGGTTAAGGTATTGCATAACTTTCTTAAGCTCGCGTGTTCCGTCCTAGCTAGCGATATCATTATATATTTTTTTAAACCTTTAATAAAAATCTTAACTCCGCCGCTATCCGTCCACATATGTACATGGAGGACGTAGGTATTGCCGAAAGTGTTAAGTGAGAAGGATGTAAGTTATTCTAAAAGGGCTAACTGACATACAAATATGTATACTACTTTGGAGTCACACTGCTTATTAAATTTAGTCAAAGACGTCGACCTATCTGTCCAAAATACTCTTATGAGGTATTTAACTTTAAATTTTATTGGCTTTACATGTGAGTAAATCAATTTGATTGCAATTTGGTCACTATTACATTGTTCTTATCTTTTCTCTATCGTATATTCTATTCATATTTACCTCTAAATGATTAAACGTGCATTGGTGGATCAAAATATCAAATAATAATAACACACCAAGTATAATTTTAGAAAGTGAGGTATGGAGAGGATAAAGTGTATGTGGATCTTACTTGTACTTCAGGGTGGAGAGACTCTTTTTGATAGATCCTCAACTCAGGAAAAAAAAACAGTTCAAAGCAATCTAGAAAGGAAGTAACAAAAGTACAAGAAATATCATATAGTAACAAAAACAATAGATAGTTATAACAACTCTTTTTGAGGGTTTTTTCAATTGAAGAAATTATTATTTTTTTATTTAGAGTCGTCACTTGAAATTGAGTTATGATGTTCCAAGTCACTTTTTTGGATCTCTAATCAAAAGAAAATACTCTTTTATTTTTTGTTTAGCGAAAAGAAAAGACCAGATAAGAAATTTTATTGATCGAGGGGAAGGTATGAGGCACTCTTTCAGTCACATGGTTCTAGCACGTTCGCTTTTATTAACTTATACTCAACTTAAATTATTTTTTGGATTATTGTTATAGATTATGATTTGCTCGCATTTTATTGTTGGACTTTTATTGATCTCAACCTAGATGTGTCACTGCATTCTTGATCTTGACATACACATGCTTAGAGAGATAAGTCACTCTTTTCTAGAGTGCATTGCACCTAATAATCTTTGGCTACCCGTTTGACTTGAATTAATGAAAATTAATTATTAGAACAATTTGGGTGACTTTCTTTCAAGTGTTTCAGAAAAAATGTCTTATCACATTCTTAATTGAAACCAAATTATTTTTAAAAAAAGATGTGTCTAAATTTGCCTCCAAAATTAGTTTGTCAATTTTTTAAGTGTGGATCAAGTGGTGCCAAACTATAACCGTTCAATTAAAATTTGTCAATCTATCGTTATTTCCAAAGCAATATCATCAAACTTTTTTTTTATTTTCCATTTTCGGTGTTTGGTGCCTGACAAAATCCGAACTCACGCATGGACATCTCACATACAACAACACTTGTACTCTTGGAAAAGGGTTATATTTATTCTTTGTTATACTTTTTGGTTATATTTGCTCCTACCACCCAACTTTGGGTTTATATTTACCCTTGAGCTGTTAAATTCCACATCACTCCCTTTTATTATCCTACGTGGCACCTACATGGATATAATCTTCTCTAATTTAATTATTACACCTCACCCCCAAATAATTGGAAACTTTTTTTTTTTCACTTGGTTCCTTTCAATTCTTTGGGGTGAGGTATAATAATTAAATTAGAGAAGATTATATCCATGCCGGAGCCATGTAGGATAATAAAAGGGGGTGATGTGGAACTTCACAACTCAAAGAATAAATATGAACCTAAAGTTGGATAGTAGGGGAAAATATAACCAAAAAGTATAACAAAGGATAAATATAACCATTTTCTAAGAGTATAAGGGCAAATATGATCTTTTTTCGATAATAATATTAATGATGATAATAATAATAATATTTAATAGTATTATTATTCATCTTAAACATGCACATAGTAGTTAGTAAACTTGTTGAAATTTTCTTATTAATTTCTTTTTTTGAAAAAACAAACTAAAGCTATGTTAGCACCCAAAAGATCAAAGCAACACCCATATATAACTTATCACTTATCACACAATTGAACAAAGAACTCATCCAAATTAGTAACACCAAAAATTTTGATAACTGATTAAAGAAAAGAGTGAGAAATAGACTTTTAAGCATGCAAGAAATAATCACCATGTTACACCAATTTTATTTTAAATTTAATGATATAACAAGTTTAAATATATTTCAATATTATAATGTTAAAGTTATACCTACATAAAATTTGAGCAACTTCGTAATATTGGAATCAAGTCTTATATAATTATGAAATTGAATCATATAATAAAAATTAAATGCTACCTTTTGTGAATATTAATTCACAAGAAGAAAAACGACCATAATGAGAAAGCACGAACCCGAAATCACAAAAGTAGACCTCAAAATCCTCCTTATTTTCCTTTTCTTTCCCTTTATGTGTGAGTTTTGGTGCATAATAGTATATTGATTGTGTAGTAACAGTGTTATAGATGTAAGATGAATGGATGTGTGTAAAAGGTTCAAATGTGAAAGTGATGTGTGTTTTTTTTGGTTGTTGTGCATAAGGGTGGCAACGGAACCGGGAGGTTCCGGTTCCGGTTCCGGTCCGTTCCGGTCCGTTACCGGTTCCGTCTCGGTTCCGGATAGTGCCGGTTAATTCCGGACTTGTTCCGGTCCGGGAGGGGTAACGGGACGGAAACCGGGATTTTACCGGTCCGTCCCGGTCCGGTTAGTCCCGGTTCCGTCCCGGTCCGGTCCGGTTCCGGTCCGGTTCGGAACTTTTTTTTTTTTTTTTTTTTTAAATCAGAAAATTTAAAAAATAGCCGTTGAGAGCCGTTGGGCAACGGGTTTTGGGCCCCACCAACGGCTCTTTCACCCCATAACCCCCCATTTACACCTCCCTACCCCCCAAACTTTTTTTAATACCCCAAACTTCTTAAAACTACATTTTCAACCTTTTTTTTAACTATAAATTCCCCTAATCTTTCATTCTTTTCACTCACAAAAATATCTTATAATCTCTCTACTCTCTAGTCTCTACTCTCTAAATTCTCTTATTCTCGACTTCTCGTTAAAATTACGAATTTGAACTTTGGAAATTGGAGCTTCAAAATTCAACTTTCAATTTTCGCCTTCCGGTCATACACGTCTACTTTTTTAAGTAGACGTTTGGTACATTCGTTCCAACTCACTTTTCATTTAGTTATTTATTTGTTTACATTTAATTATTTATTTTGTGAGTAATTAATCTCTAGTCTCTACTTATTTAGTTGTTTATTTGTTTAAAACTTTGCTAATCATTTTCGTATTATATATAATTTGCTCACTTTTTATATTTTGAATATGGATTTTGGAAAAAACATTATTGAAAAGGGTAAAACAACCATAGTTAATTCGTTCACTAATTTATCTAGCTCAAAATCCAAGAAAAATAAAAAAACCGGTAGTACTTCTCAATCTAAAACTAAAAAAACTTCTCAATTAAGAATAAATACGGATGATTATACGCATGTTGATGAAACTGTTTTTAATATTGATAGTAATAGTGGATTAGATCCTTATCATGAACATTTACAAAGAAGATTTGGTAATTTTGAAGAGGAATTACCTGAAGATGATGAACATGATGTTAATGATTATGTTGATAGTTTTGATAATAATGTTGATGAATATGATGATGATGAAACTGAGCCACCGTCGGCTACTAGTCCCCCTCCCAATCCCTCTTCCCCGGCTCCCGCTCCCTTTCGTTGTCCTGCTCCCATTCCCCCCGTGCATCCTAGGACTAAGGTAGAACGCGCTAAAAAATCAGTTGTGTGGCAATTTATGACTCAGAATGAAGATAAAACACAAGCTATTTGTAATAAATGTAAACATAGAATGAATCATAAAACTGTAGGAAAACAGGGTGGGACGGGACATTTGAGTAATCATTTAATGTCATGTTGTAAAAATGAATTTTTGCATGCTAAAGCTGTAGCCGAAGCTAAAAAAAATGGTACCACCCTTCCTGAAAATGTAGGAGTAGATGGCTCTAATATGGTCCAAACACAATTAAATCCTTCTAATGTTTCTGGTTCTAGTATACAACGGTCATATAGTAGAGAAAAAGATCTTGAAGAATTAGCTAAAATGATTGTTGTTATGGGTTTGCCATTTAGTTTTGCTGAAAATCCCGGTTTTATTCATTATATTCAAATTGTGTATAATCCACATTTTAAAGGTTTTACTAGAAATACAATTAAAAAGGCTATCTTTGATTATCAAGCTCAACATTTTCAATATCTTCGTTGTTTATTTTATTATAACAATTGTAAAATAGCTATTACTTCTGATATGGGCCATAGTGTAAATGGTAATGATTATTTCACAATTACTGCGCATTGGATTGATGAAAATTGGACTTTGCAAAAAAGAATTTTAGGTTATAAATGTTGTGAAATGCATAAAACCGGTAGTTATATAGCTCAAACAATTATAGATGTTTTGCAAAACTATGGAATTTGTGATAAAATAAGTAGTGTCACATTAGATAATGCTTCTAATAATAGTAATGCTGTTGAAATACTAAAACCGTCTCTTTGCCCTATTTATATTGATGGTTTTCATATTAGGTGTGCTGCACACATATATAATTTG